GGCCGAGCAGCCCCGATGCTCAGCGGCCTCCCCGCGCCGGAAGGGGCGCGCGACCGCACGGCGTCACCTCCGCAGCGCGTCACCTCCGCGCGGCTTCCTCACCCCTCCAATCCCTGGCGTCGCTCCCGAGTCCCCAGCGCAGGCCGCTCTTGGCCCCGCCCCGCGCCGCCGCGCTCCAACCGCGCCCCGCGACCGTGTCGGCTCCGCCCCCGCGCCGTCCAATAGCTGGCCGGCCCTCGCAGGCTCAGAGCCCAGCGCGTGAGGGCGCCGGGATTCCGGAGAATCAGACCGAACCCCGCGGAGGAATGCTGCTATTCCCACTAGACCACGCGTCGCATCTTCCCTATTGCCAACGCCAGTCGGTTCATTTCCGAAACACTTACTTATCCCAGCTTCTCCAACCCCTCCCTTCCTTACTAACAAGATTTACTGAGTGACTACTATGTTCCGTGTGCTGAGCTAGGCTTCAGTTTAGGCTCCTGTTCTTGTCATAGGGGGCGTAATTGTTTCTAACCAGTCTTGCTTGGGAACGCGCCCTGCAGCTCCTACTCGCATGTGAGCACCCCGAAAATATACCTGGGAGACACTCTAGAGCAATGCAGGCTTCCCTCCCCGCACAACACATAAATTGATTTATTTCATCATCATCATCATTATTTGTGAGACATCATTATTTTTGTGACAGGGTCTCACTGTGTAGTTCAGGTTGACCTTCAACTCACTAAGTAGCCTAGGATGGCATTGAACTCACAGCAATCCTCCTGCCTCAGCCTCCAGAGTGCTGGAATTACAGGTGAGAGACTGATCAGTTCCTCATTCTCTCAAGGATGTCTTGCAGTTAAAATCACTAGATATCGAGGTAGGAATTTAGCATTAGATGGATGGGTGTAGTGGTTCACGCCTGTAATCCCAGCACACTGGGAGTGACTTCTTGAAACCGTACCTCTGAATAAAAGCCCGCGGATGTAGCTCAGAGCGAGGGTCTCAGCTTCAACCCCCAGTACACGCGCAGAAAGAACAAAAAAAGCTTCAGGGTAATAGGGTCAATTCCATTGATGCTGGTTAAAGACCTGGGCTCTGGAATCACCCATGTGATCTTAAAACACTTTACTGAATAATTACCCCATTTGAAAATGGGGAAGGGTGAGGGAGCTGGTGCTCTTTCATTGGGTATTTGTGGAGAGAATTCAAGCCGGCTCCTAGTATGATGCCTGCCACATGGTCAGTGCTTCATGAGTGCATTGCCCGCTGGGTAAAACTCCAAAAACTCCCCACCCTCCCCGGGATTCATCGGGTTTCTTGTTTTTTTGTTTTTGTTTTTTTTTCCAGTACTGGGAATCGAACTCACGACCTTGCGCTTGCCAGGCAGGCTCTTCTGCTGAACTAAATCCCCAGCCCCCACATCGGGTTTCTTTTGCGTGGCCCTCTACAAGCTCGCTCTAATTTCAGACCCAATTTTCCTCTGGCTCTGAGCCAAGCAACTTCCCCAAACTGGAACTTGTCTCATTTCTTCCAGCTCGTGCAAATCCCTTGCTGGATCCTTCCTCCCACTACCTGCCTAAGATTCAAGCAGTTTACAAGACTGGGTTCTAAATTTGGCTTTGGCCTCAGTCATCTAACAGGTGCTGACTAGCTGCATTTTCTTTGGTAAATCCTGTATCTTCAACTCCCGGATTAGCATAAGGGTTAAATAATACAACATGGAGTGTTCCCACAATTCCTGGTACATGGCTGTTAATTCAAAGATGTTCTGTTTCCCCTCTTCCTTTGAATCTTTGTCAACTCCCTCCCATCTGTACCTTGTATTTGTGCTGTAGTATTATCACATTGAATTGTAATGATTTGTTACTTGCCTATCTTAAACTGTAAATTCTTTGGGGGTTTTGCTAGGTGCATGACAGTTCCTCTTGAAAGGTTTGTATGCTGGTTGTGGTACCCCACACCTGTAATCCCAGCACTTGGGAGGTTGAGGAAAAAAGATCACCACGAGTTTGAAGCCAGCCTGGGTTACACAGTGAGTTCAAGTTCAGCCTAAACTACACAGTGAAACCCTGCCTCAAAAATAAAAAAGACAAAAAAAAAATTAGATGACCAAGAAATGTTGATGGGAGGTGGACATAGTGGTGCACACTTGTAATCCCAGCACTCGGGAGACTGAGGCAGGAGGGTAGTGAATTGAAAGCCACCCTGGGCTGCAAAGTGAGTTTAAGGCTAGCCTGGACTAGATAATGAACCCTGTCTTAAAAAAAGAAAGAAAAAAAAGTTTGTTCTAACATTGTTTGGACACTTAAATGTTGATATCTTGTACTCTCAGTAACTGATTTAAAGATAACAATACACGTATTAACCCCTGTTGCCCTCCTATCATATTGTTTTGGAATTTTGTGGGGTTTTTTTCTTTAAAAAAAATCACATTGGGGCTGGGGATTTAGCTCAACGGCAAAGCACCTGCCTGGCTAAGCGCAAGGTCGTGAGTTCGGTTCCCGGTACCAGAGAAAAACCAAAAAAAAAAAAAAAAAAAAAAAAAATCACATTGGGTGAAACACCACCAATGGAATTTACCAAGAATCTCTGCCTGAGGGGGGTGAGTTCTGAGGGCCCCACAAGGCTTCTCTCAGAGGCCACAGACACAGAAACCCACAGATCCGAGGCAAAAAGCAGTGTTGAACTTCCTCCTGCACCCGTAGCATTGCTTTGTCTGAATGAGACTAACAGAGAAGAATCTGAAGAGGCTGCCTGTAGTCCCAGCCAGGAGGATGGAGTAGACTGGGCCAAACCATTCCCTAGAGAGGACCAGGGACCTGGGGGAGGCCAACTCTGCAAGCACCAATAAATGTGACAGGCGGTTGGTGATGTCAGGCTGCTTTTTCAAGGACAAGCACATGGAAAGGCAATACTTTGACCCTGTAGGACAGAAATGGTGAAGGACAAGCCAGAGAACAAAGAAAAGGAGGGCCAAATTGAGGGACCCCTAGGAGGGCTGGGCTTCCCTCTGACATGTGCTTCCCCCACCCCAAAACCTGCAGGGCAGGGTTGAGCTCCGGCTCTGGAAACAGCTGCTGGGTGAAGACTAAGTCTGGTGGCAGCTCACATTTCAGCACATGGCGCAACTTCCCCAAGACTCTTGGGAAGACCCAGGAGAGTCTGCCGGGAAGTCTTTCCTACCAAAGCCCTTAGGCACTTGGACACCAGGACCCCAAGCACGACAGCCCCTTAGGTATCACACTGGGGCCTCAGCCCCATTTATTTGAATAGCCAGAGGTTCCTGGTATGAGCAGCAGTTTTAGGTTGTGGGTAGCCCTTTCCCTCTAATCTGGGCAGCAGCCAAGAGAGAGAGACGCATGAAAATATATTTCAGACTCCTTTCTCTGTGGTCTGGAGTTCTGAAGAAACAATTTCATATCTCTATAAAACTACCTCTGTAGGTCCACTCAACTTGCAGTCACATAAACAGAATTTGCCTGTGGGTTAAATACTGACTATTAAGTAAAACTCTGCATTCCTTTCATTACAGACACAAAGGAGGTCAAGTGTGATACTATCAAGGAATGAGCCAGACTTAGAACAAACGTGCATGCTCCCTTCTCTCTGACCCCAGGGGGGACACTTCTCCATGGGCTTCACCTGGGCCCTTCACCACAGGGAGATGTGGGGCCTTGCCGGGAACGCCTCAGTCTTGGCCCTTTTCTGTGACTTCAGAGTGCTGGCCACTGTTAGCTCCTGAGCAAATTGCGAAACGGACCTTTCAGGAAAGGAATCTATAGCTCATAGTATTTGAGCACTGGAGGATAGTTGCAGACACGGGTCCAGGGGACTAGGGGACGCTCAGTAGGTAAATCGCATCTTTTGTGAGTAGCCCAGTTTGTCCAGGTTGGGATGGCAGGCCAGCTGTACCATTGGGGGTGGCCCGCAGAGCAGCACCAGCACATCATCCCCTGGGGCAGGCAGGTGCTCCCGGATCATGTCAGCAGTCACAAAGCCCTTGCTGTAGGCCCAACCTGAAGTACAGAGGAGAGGAGAACACTGACACTCCAGACCCAAGCTGGCAAAGGAATGTGGCACCATAAGGATGGCCACTGACAAGAGCTCCCAAAGTCTTAGGGTGTAGCAGCTACAGCCATCCCTGCCCCCACCTCATAAACAGGAAGCTGGAGAAAAGGGACCAGGAGACCGCTGTGTCTGTGCACTAAGACTTGGGACTTTGGCAGTGTTAGGGAGGGTTGGTTTTGCAGAAACAAGAACTCATAAAGGGACAAGAAGGGCTATTGGGAGGTCTGGAAATGGGAAGGGTACCTGCTGGGGGATGGTCCAGCGTGAACCAGAGCTTAAAGCGACTGGGATATTGGGCCTGCAGTTCCTCCAAGTCCTCCCGCAGGATTATGTCCTGTTCAGTCTGAAATGCAAAGGGGAAGCAAAGTCTTAGAAATCTTCTCAGGTAAAAAAAGTTCTCTGCTATGACAACTTTCTAACCAGGAAAGGAAAACAATGCTAGAGGGATACTACAAGTTCTAGGGAATGAGCAAGTCTTGCAGTGCTTTTAGGGGATTAGGATGAGGAAAACAGGCTTTCTTTGCACATGAAGGAATGAAATATATAATAAGGTGGACTCCTGGTTTCTTTGTTCAGCACTAAATCTCTTAACTCTTCTTTCCTGTGGGGGTCAGAGAAGGAGTCTGGTCCATTGCTCAGTCCCTTTTCCTCCTTATTGTAGCAGTGAGTACTGTACCTTGCAGAGGGAACCTGGGGCAGAGGCCAGAAGAGGCACTGGGCCTGTTCTACCCATGGGTCCCCCTGTTCTTGGTCCTACCCATGCAGCAACTTTGAAGGACCAGGACTGAGAAAAGCAAACCAACCTGGTTGGCAAAAAGCAGAAAGCACTGGGTTGGATCTTCAGGGACTTTCAGGATGGCCCGGATCAGCTGTAGCATTGGGGTTATTCCTGCACGAGGATACCCCACAGTGAGACGTGGTGGCCACACTCTGCTCTGCCCCAGCTCCTTGGCCCACCAACCCTTTCACTTGCATTCTACTTATTCGCATGCCACTCCATTTTCCTGCTGTCATATTCCTCTGACCTCCTGCATGTTTTCCAGCATCTACATTTCTGGATCCTCTCAATATTCTTGAGTTCCTATTGTGGAAATCCTTGTAAGGCACTTCCTCTCAAAGTCTCTTGGAGGCGAGGGACTGAGATGTCACAGATGACTACATCTGCCTCCTGACTCGGCAGATGAGGGTTCCAGGACGTTGACTGGACTTGTGGAGGTTAAGAGCATCTCCTTTGGAATCAGGCAGAGCCACATACGAATCCTATCTCTGGCCACTAACTAGTAACCCTGTGGAAACCATTTAACCTCTGAATCTCCATTTTCTCATCTGTATAAGGGAAAGATGAGTACTTACTTCACAGATACATATACATGTGCCAAATACATAGTTGTTAAACTGTACATAGTATCTAATATTAGTGTCTAGTGCATAGTCATGTCTAATGCTAGTTTTCTTTTTGATTTGTCATTCTTAGCAGTTTTTTCTACTCTTAATTAAAAATTACTAGATTCATTCAATTTGAGGAGAGGCTGCATGATTTATTGCTCTCAATTTACCACTTAGAATTTTTTGGAGGGGTTGAAAGGAGGGTAAAGAAATGGGGGAAAAAAAAGAATCAAGTTATATCACCTATAGGTACAAATTCTCTCTCTCTTTTTGTCTTTTTGAGATAGGGTCTCGCTATGCAGTTCAGGCCGGCCTTGAGCTTTCTTTGTAGCCCAGGCTGGCCTCGAACTCCAAACAATACTCCTGCCTCAGCCTCCTGAGTGCTGGGATTACAGGTGTGTGCCACCATGCCTCGCAGATTCTCTATGATGAATGTGATCATTATATATATCTAAAATGTACCAAGAAAATCTGATTAAAACATAATAAAAAGAGAAGGAAAATAAATAGATAAATAAATTTTGGGAGGTGAGTTCTACTTGCTTGATTTTATTTTTCAGTTTCTGATGGGGTCTAGGCCTTGCTGGAGACCCCTGATTAAATGCTTAACTATGGTTTATTGAATATTCTAAGATCACTTAGGGTTCCGCCTGGCAACAACAACAGTGGGAGAGAATAGCCCTTTGAGCAATACGCACCTGTCCCTCCAGCAATCATTCCCAGTTTCTTTGCCACTCGGGGCTCTGGTGGAGATTTCTTGTTGGGCTGAATGTTAAAATTCCCTGAGATCAAGAATAGAGAGGTACAACAAGGTGAAAATAGAAAACTAAGTAAACAAATGGAGAAGAGAAAATATGCCTGAGGCCAGTTGAGCAGCTGCTACGAAATCTGATCCTGGAATGAGGGTGGAGGTTTGAGTTGAGCCAGTTCTGACAATAATACACTGAAGGGCAACGAGGCCAAAGCCATCAGCCCACAATCATTTTAGGGCCACATGGTGAGTATCAGCTGCTTCTGACAGAGGGTCACTCCCTGGTGAGGGTGACAGGCATGGGGCCAGGTATGACTCTAGCATCTCTAGAGGGACCCAGCAGCTCTGAGGGCTTGCTAAAGCACCCCACTGTTCCCCAGGGAAGGGCTGAAAGCTATCTTTCCTGGATCTCTTCACAGCCCAGCCTGAGGGAAGAGTGTTTGAGGGAAGGGGCCAGTTTCATGGGTTTGCTTTGGTAATCTCCACAGCTGTCTGTCATGGCTGGTAAACTGAAGCGGACAGTCTAAGTGAAGCTTTCCGTCTGAGAAATACGCCTATCTGTAGTCTCAGTGCTATGTTGAGAAGGAAAGGCAGCTACAGCCCTTACACTTGTGCGGGTGCACTCACACGCACACACGTACCCACACATGCACACAGACATACAGTCACACAGTGACTGTATGTCATACAGACATACAGTGCCAAGAAGACTAGGAGAACCGGGGAAGAGGTTCCTGGGCTGAAGCACACAGGTCATCACCTTTCCCAGTGTAAGTGAGCAACCCGCTCGGGCCCCGGAACTCCACCACGTCCCCAGTCTTCAGGCTATCCAGGTACTGAGACATCTTCCCTCCCTCAGGAAACTTGGGGTGCACACCCTTCAGGTAGACCTGACAAAGAAGAGAGGAAGGAAACACCTTATTTAGGATGTCTCCAAGGCAGGGTACGGCAGGATCTCAAGCATGCTATCTTTTCCCAGTCCACACACTTTCCTCATACCCACAAAGGAAATGCCTTCTACTATCCAAAGAATTCTGGGAAGTTTCTACAAATTCCAGAAAACATAGGTTAAGGAGATCGCTGGGGTTCTTCACTCCACTCTTACCTTGACAACAAGATCCACGTAGCCTCGGTCCTCATCACTGGTGACAGGAGTGTATGGCCGGATGACCAAGCTGCCATCAATTCGGGCAGAGAGGTAGACATGTTTGCCTGGGGACCATGGGGAGAGCTACATAAGTGCTCTTTGAGGAGGTTCTGCATCCCTGTTACCATTCAAAACACTCAGAGAGGTTTGAGAGAACAGGATGTGTTGTTGTTTTGTTTGTTTTGTTTTGTTTTTTGGAGACTTGGTTTTGTTATGCAGTTCAGGCTGGCCTTGAACTCGCTATGGAAGCCAGGCTTGCCTTGAACTCATGGCAATCCTCTTGCCTCAGCCTCCAGAGTGCTGGGATTATAGGCCTGCACCACTGCACCCAGTGAGAACAGGATGTCTTGCTTCCCGCTGTGGTTCAAGGAACTCCTAGGCAGAGGAAATTCACCCCTAACCTCTGCAGTCTCTTACCAGGCTTCAATTGGAGAAAGTCCTATCAGTTACTGCCAGGACCATGGAAACAGCAGGTAAGCTGAGGGCCTGAGCAATGGGAAAAACTTAGTGTGTGCTGGGGGGTGGTGCGGGGGTTATGAGCAAGTCCTGCAGGAAAGAGGGAGGGCTGTTGAGTGTTACAGACTGTTGGGGGTACAGAAGCCACACCCTAAAGGGACCCAGTGGAACCTCACAGCCTCCAGCATCCAGAGCCAAGTGAGGAGGCGGAAGGGTGTATGGAGGAAAAACTGAAGCAGCATGTGTCACAGACCCCAGGAGGCCTGGCCTCCTAGGATACCAGGGAAAGGAGCTCCACATTTTCCTTACCCACAGGCAGCCCCAGAACGTGGTGGGCGGTGGGCAGGGCAAAGCGGAACCTCTTGGTGTTGTGGCTCACAGTCTGCAGGATGAATAACACAAGGGTTTCACCAGGCGGCTGTGGTGCTGCCAAGTCCCCTGGGGCACCCCAACCACCTCGGACGCTCTGCCTTTACTACCAGAATTCTGCCCACCCCCCACCACTCTCTTGCCCCTGCCTTTAAATTTACCGTCTTGTCCAGGAGTCGCAGCAGGTACTTTTCGTTGGGGTCCAGAAGAGTGACCAGTGGCCGGCGGGACCTTCGCACCAAGTAAGTGCCCACAGCCACGCCGAGCAGAGTAAGCACCCCCACCCCCAGCGAGGCCAGCAGGATTGAGCTCTGTGGACAGAGGAGGCAGCGTGACCTCCACTGTGGGAAAGAGCCCAGGGCGGGGGTGGTGACCACCCCCTATGACCCGCTGCCCGAGGGGTGGAAATCCTGAGCCCCAGACCCAGAGCTCCCGGAGGGTAAAGCTGGGCTGGGTCCCAGTCGGGAGATGCAGTACTGGGACTCAGCATGCAGGGCGGGTCCTGAGCCTTCCTGGTTGGGGTCGGTGGTGGGAGCCCCTAGTCCGCACCCGAGTAGAGAATACGGGACAAGGGTCTCACCGGATGTATCCCCATGACCAAGCGCGTGTCCTCCAGCACCCGGCGGCAAGACAGATCCCACAATGCGCCGCGGGGCGGGGCGGGGGCGGGGCCACCCAGGGGCGGGGCGGGGCGCGGTCGTGGGCGGGGCCCGCTACTTCTCGGTCCAGTCCTTTTCACTCCTGACTCCGCCACCCACTGGCCCAGGATTTCTCGCACTTTTCCAAGACCTTTTAAGACCGCAGCTCCAGCCCTCTCCAGTCTTCCGGTTCCCGTCACTTCGATCCACCTATCACCAGACGAGAATGCCATTCTAACCCAGAACCTTTCTAGGTCCCGCAATTGGAGATCTCAGAGCCCGTGAATCCTGCATATGGAGTGTAACGTTGAGCCAGAGACAGGAAGTTTAGTCATTGTGTAGTAACTCTAATTTTTCCAAAAGGGTGAATTGCAGCATGACAATTGAACAACCCTGCAGGGACTCTTTCAGGAAGGAACAGTGGCGTGGCGACTTCATTTCCTGGTCCTTTTGGACAGAATGACTGGTTTTGTTCACTATGTCCCGCTGTCAGTTTTAGACTGCGTCTTCCTTTGGGTCCAAGTCCAGCTTCAGATCCTTGTCTTGATTCTTACACCTAAAAACCTGGGCGTTGGAGGCAAACTGTACTGAATAAGAATAGTGCCTCCAGCACCTACTGGCTCTGGACCTTGAACAACTTGGTCAACTTCTCAAGTTTCTTCATCTATAGATTGCTGCGTCCAGCGCAGCTAAGCTCCCAGAGGAATGGGAAAAATAAAGATGGGAGGATGGAGACATAAAAGATGGAGAAATAAAGATAAGAGTCAGAATACAGAAAGCTGAGGTCAGATGGAGCCCTCTCTCTGCATGGGAGGAAAGGAACTAATCATTTATTTATACATTCGGCAGGTTGACGTCACGTGATCCCCCTCTGCCTAGCAACCTGCCTGCATAGTAGCTTCAGGGTGCCCCACGTTCTGCGAGATGGAACAACTTGTTCACGTGGCTCCCCTCCTGTGCTCTTTGTTTTTGGTACCTTGCTCCAGCCCCGTTCCTGTGATCAATCTCCAGCTTCAACCACTCCCCACAAAAGATGAATGTGCATTACCATCTACAGATGGGTAGAATTTTGTTCACGGGGATATTAGGAGGCTTCAATGAGATATGCTAATGGGCTTAGTGTAGTGCCAATCATAGAGCAAAAATATTCAACAGATGGCAGCTACTTACCAACTCAGAAGACAGCATGGAGCTCACTTTGGGAATTTAAGACTGAGCTCTGTTGCAGCAGAAGCATGGAACATGAGTCAGAAATAGACACCGCGAGCCCCTGGAGGTACACATTTGCCAAGATGACCATTCTTTCCCATGGGCAAGTTTCCCAACCAGAATGACACATGCTTTGTTGCAGTGATGAATAAGATTTCCACAGATGTCATCATCAACATCTAAACTAATATCACCAAGGCAGCAAACATGTTGGAGCGCCAGTGTTTAGTTGTAGTTAGTGAACTCTGTGAATAGTCCAAGAGATGCTTTGTTTTCTTTGTCTTCTGGATTAGCTGAAAATGTCACACAGACCAGGGTGCATCTCCCTGTGAGTTTTCAAAGCACCCTGCACAGTGTCTTGAGGGAAGTCAGGCTGAGAGTTAGGGTGTCGGGAAGTGCCAATTTTTGTAGGGAGGGCTGCAAAGGGGGAGGGGAGAAATCCTCCTTTTCTGTTTGGAGAAACAGAAGGCATTACGGACTAGGGCTTCTGACAGTCCCACTACTGTTGTGGCTAAAAGGCCACAGTACAGATCCCAGTTCCAATACCCTTGACTGACAGGGCTATGGCAAGACAGGAGGTATAGAACCAGAGGAAAGCAAAACTACAACTCAAAGGGGCAGACTTTAACTAGTAGGAGTGCATCACCAGGAACCATGGGACAGGAGGTACAAGACTGGAAGCTTTGACTATGTGGTCTCAGTAGCCATAGTGAACCCTTAGTCCTGAAGAGAGGTGCTGTAGGGTTGCTGGACAGGGGCCTGCTTCCCTGAGTAGAAGATTGGACCAAGCAGGCATGGTGACACACGTCTGTAATCCCAGCACTCAGGAGGCTGTGAGTTCAAGGCCAACCTGGGCTACATGGTGAGTTCAAGACCAGGCTGAAATACATAGTGAGACCCTACCTCAAAAGAAAAAAAGAAAAAGAAGCAGAATACTGGAACAGACGATCTTAGCCCAGAAGATGGATTCCATCTCTTCACCAATCTTTTATTTAATCCTTATTTGGGGGAAAAGGGGTATTTGCAGATTTTTATCAAATTGAATCTTTCAAGGTTAGATTTTCTTCCTGTAGAAATAATAGAACAGAAAATAGGTGCTGCCACTTGGGAAGTTGAGGCAGGAGGATTGCAAATTTGAGGCAACCCAGTATGGCCCTGTTTCCAAATAAAATAAAAAGAGATTGGGTATGTTGGGGACATAGCTCAGTGGTGGCACACTTGCCTGCATACATGAGGCCATGGGTTTAATCCCCAGAACTTAAAGACATAATGTAGCCCAAAGGGGAAGTAGAATACTTAAAAAGTGTGTTTTAAATATTTTTTGAGACAGGATCTCACTATATAGTCCAGGTTCGTCTTGAACTTGCTATGTAGCCCACGTTGCCCTCAAATTTGGTGTGATCCTTCTGCCTCAGCCTCCTGAGTGCTGGGATTACAGGGGTGTGCCACCACAGCCGGCCATGTTTTAGAACTCTGAATTAAAGTGCAAAATTCACTAGTCCTTTTGAAAAAACATAGGATACCCAGGAAAACTTGGCAGGAGGTCTGCTTTTACAGAGGAGATGGCATGGATGGATCAGAGCAGGAGATGTAGGAAGTTGACATTTGTTCAACATGTACCAAAAACTAGGTAAATTGCTTTTCACCTATTCTGACAACATCCATTGTCTCCTGACAACCATTTGTGAAATGGATCATTAATGTCCTCATTTTACAGAGGAAGAAACTAAGGTTTAAGACAACATAACTTGCTCAAGGTTAACTAAGTGGCAAAATCAGGAGGCACACCAAGTAGCCTGATATTGAAGGCTTATAATCCCACACGCCCTTTAAAAATATTTCTAGTAAGGAAGCTATTAAACACACAAAAATAAAATAGTATAATGAAGCCTCATGGACCCATCACCCCCTTCAACAATTATTATTATCATCATTATTATTATTATTATTTACGGTATTGAGGAGTGAACCCAAAGGCTTTGCACTAAGCTACATCCTTAGCCCTTTTTCTTTTATTTTTAAATTTTGATGCAGGGTCTTGCTAAATTGCCAAATTGCCCAGTCTGGGCTTAAAATTTCAATTTTCCTACCTCAGCCTCCCAGACTGAGATTTGATGCTGGATTTGATACCCACCATCACAAAATAAACAAACAAGCAAACAAAAGCTATCACACATAAAAGTAATGAAAAATAATTACTTAATTTCATTAAATATACACTCAATATTTAAAGTTCTAATTGCCTCATTAACATACCCAGCTCAAAATTTAAAAAAAATTATTTTGAGCTGGATATGTTTGCACATGCCTGTAATCCCAGCATTCTGGGAGGCTGAGCAGAATTGCAAATTTGAGCTCAGCTGGAAGAACTTAGTGATTTACAGAGAGCCTGTTTCAAAAAAACGGATGGAGATGGAGGTGCAGCTCAGTATAAAGGTTCTGGGTTCAATCCCTAGTACTGCACATGCAAAAAATTTGTAGGTTATCATACATTAAAATAGATTTGTTTTTGGAGACAAGGTCTCACAGTGTAGTTCAGGGTGACCTTGAATTCACTGTGTAGCTGGGCGTGGTGGTACACACCTGTAATCCCAGCATTTGGGGAGGCTGAGGCAGGAGGATCATTGTGAGTTCAAGACCAGCCTGGGCTACAAAGTGAGCTCAAGTTCAGCCTGAACTGTATAATGAGACCCTGTCTCAAAAAAACAAATCAAAACAAAACAAAAAATTCACTGTGTAGCCCAGGCCTTAAACTCCCAGTGATCCTGTTTCAGCTTCCATAGTGCTGGGATTACAGCCACGCACCACCACACCTGGTGCTAAAATGGACATTTTTAGTGTACAAGTCTAAGAACTTTAGCACAGGTACTGATTAGTGTAACCACTGCCATCAGGACATAGGGTAGTTTCATTGCCACCAAAATTCCCTTGTGCTATATAAAAGTCACATCCTCTGTTCTCATGACAAAATGATGACTTTGCAAGGGAATGCTTTTGTCAATTAGATTTAGTCATTTTGCAACGTAGTTATAGTTTAAAATATTCTATGTGCTAGTAAATACATATAATGTATCTGTCAGTTAGAAAAATATGAAAAGGAAAAAAGTGTTGCGAATAAGTGCAAATTCCAGGGCTACCTCAAAACAACTGAATTCAAAGTCTTGGTGGTGGGGAGTAGCACCCTGGGGTCTGACAAGCCCCGAGGGAATGTAAGTGCACATCAAACCTGAGAACCACTGACCACGCCCTCCTGAGTTGGTTTTTCTGTGTTTATAACCAGGCATCCAAACTGATAATGAAATCTCTGAAACCCTTAAGATTATTTTAAGCCAGTGTGGTTATTTATTTTGATGCCACAGAAAACTAATAAAGAGCTGACTTGTGGTACCTCAGCTTCAGAGGGCGATTTCTTAGCCATCCTTATCCATGAGGTGACCCAACTTTGCACTGCATTTGTCACATTGGTGTTATCTGATTCACTTTATAGTCAATTTTCCTTGTCTTTCCTCCCTAAATTGTGAAGCTCTAAGACGATAAACACTGATGTAATCGGGCTGACTTGTTTCAGCACTGCACACAATACTTTCAAATATTAGGTGTTCCATAAATATTTGGAGATTGTACTATTCTTTTACCACAAACAGCACAAACAATGGAAATTGTTGTTCAAGTTC